TGATTGACAGATTTTTGTTCTGGTTAAAGACGCATTGCCATCCAAAGACCCAGCCCAAAACATATATTCAAATCATTTTTTTATCTTGTGCAAAATGTTGTTCAAGAAGCATGACCCAAATAACCCCCTAAATCGATTCGTTGAGCTTCACGAAATTAAATGCCAAATATCTTATGTATTTACAAAATTGTATTTTTTAGTTAGTTGGTCAAAAGCGAAGTTTAAGAAAATAATCAGTAAATGTGGGCCGTTCGGTTGACTAAGAGCCGCTCTGTAAAAAGTTACTACATGAATGGTATTCTAGTAACTCATTTTCATTTGATTGTGTTGATTTCGAAATATTTATACGGGAATCGGGGAAAGAGTATAATTTTTTTTGTTTTAACGTTGATATTTTGTATTGATTTGGAACAGCCCCTACTTGGCGAACTATTTTCCTCTTCAAGACTAACCAAAGCTATCCAAAATTAGTTTCAGTTATACCATTGTAAGGGAAGCTAAATAGAGCTCTGTACCTTTTGATATAACGTTGAATTTTGGCCATTCTCGAAACCACGCCCACACACGTACACTCGAAACGAATTTTGTATAATCCATCTTACCTGCATCGAATGAATATTATTATTTACGAATCATTGTGTAAGTGCAACTATTTATATGTATGAGTAAAATCAAGAGAGCAACACAACCACACAAAATGTTAAATGGAAAGTACACACAAATCGAAACGAAAATCTCTATATATTTACATTGTATTTTTACCATACACCGTAAACTAATTCAATGATAGTATACGTATATTTTTTGTACAATTTTCATTTTATTGTTGTTAAATGTATGTGAATTTTGTTGTTAGTTAAGCGTAGCCTGAGCGTCACACTTTGTACCCCCTCACAGCGTTTAAATAAATCAAATCTACAAGAACCCATCCAAGGACAAAATTATATTAAATTTACAAAGATTAAGCAAAAACAAAAACCAATATTAAGTAAATAAATCTATATTGTATTTAAATGTACACCTTAAAGTAAATTATTTATTGAATATTTCTTAGTAAGTTAGTAGTTATGTGCGGAATTTCATTGGAGTTAAATCAAATCATGAGAAAGGTTTTAGACTAGGCAAACGAGGCAAAAGTTCATGTGTTGGATCTGTAGCAAACCATTAAAATATCTAGGCAATAAGTCCCCTAAGAATATAATTAATTCTAATTGATTGTAGCGAAATATTTAATGCACTATAAACTTCATCAGGCATCTCAAATCAAAACAAAATTTAGTACATACCCAGAAGCCATACCATGTTCATTCTAACCGAAAAAAGGCAACAATCAATTCAGCATCTTGAAAGCATATGGAAACTACATAAATACATACAATGCATAAATGCACATTCAGCAAGACATGAAATAAGCAAAAGTCAGTGACAGAAATAAAGCAATATAAACGATGCTCAAGATTTGTATTCAATTTGAGGGATATAGATATTTGTAAAACTTAATAAATAATAACAAGACCCAGAGATAATATTGAATCACTATGGATATTTGAGATAAATAAATAAACATCTATTAAAACAAATAAAGCGAATTTGCATATTTCTTTTGAGCTGCTTAAAACCAACAACTTTATTTATTTAAAAAATAAGCACATACAAAGATTTTCATCAGATTTTATATTAAATTCTTGCCTGCTATCCCCAGAACCACTGCTTTGGTTCGATCTCAAAATGAAAATGCTTCAGTCCCATTTATAATTAAATTGTTATTTTTATTAAAATGTTTTTTTTTTGTTTATCGTTTTACCCCATTCTGTTTTTGGGCATCTTTCGAGATTTGCTTTGTTTAGTTTTCGTATTATTATAAGTGGCATAAGAACAGTTATATTATTCAAATTTTCAATTTTATGCTTTCCTCGACTAAGAACTAAGTTTCAACGAAATTCGATTGGAAGTGTCCGAGAACTTAGGGAATGACATCAGTAAGGCTGACAGAAAACTAACCACGAATAGGTTTAGTTTATCCTTAGTGCACAACATTTAACTGAAGATACGATTTTGTAGTTTCATTGTTAGTCCAATTTTTAATTTTCAATTTAATTTTTATGTTCCTTTTTTTAAAGCAAAGGAGACTTTATTTAGTGTTTAATTTTCTTTCTTTTATAAAGACAGCAAATATTTTTCGTTAGATTTGCAGATTAGTCGGCTGAAACAGTTAACAATTTTTGTGGGTAAGTAGAACGAAGCCTGCGTACAAGCTTTAGACAATTAGGTGAATGAAATGTACACATAAATGGAATTATCATATCATATGTATGTTAGACGTAGTATTATCATAGTTATTGCTATTATAATAAAGTTTTGTGGGGTTTCTGTTTCTCCTATCATCAAGTACTTATAAACAATCCAAATCACTAACCACGTTTGCTCTTGTTAATTTTCGTTTCGTTTCATTCCATTTATTATTCATAGGGATAGCATGCTCGTAAATTATATATTTAGATAACTTAGGGCATTACATTCGAGATGGTTTGATGGCTGCTCGGACATTAATCTCTCGTCAACTCTCTAGGGGCTCATTTACAAATCGCTTAGGCTGGAAAATTATTATCGTAATTTACATTTACTAGGTACATTTTGATTAAATTTAGCCTCAACTAAATGCGAACTAAACGTAGTTTAAAAGGTAATCTTCGTCATTGTGGTTACAATATTTTGCTAAAAATACATTGCCCTCCCCCAGGGGTCAGGGCTTCTGGCTATGGGGAATCCTACTCTGATTTCAATTCCCCATCCATCCATCTAGCTAATCGTACAACATTTAGACTTCGATCTGGACATAGCATAGAGGATATATTTCAATTCATATTCGTACTAAACATTTAGCAGCTAAAAACAGTAATATTTTGACTTCCAATTCGATTAGTTAAATAAAATACTTTCGATTTTAATTTTAATGTAGGTTAAGATTAAGTTTAAGCGTTTCAATTTCATTATTATTATTATTATGTGACTAGTTAGACATTTAGGTTCCTTCAACTCGCATCGTATTTTAATATCATTTCGTTTGCCATTTCGGTTTCATTTTGGACAGTGTACAATACATTTACAGAATATTGCATCGCTCGTTTCTTACTAGGTAGGGCATCGGGCGGGGGGGGTGGTTTACTCAAAAGGTACGTCGCTTATGTATCCTCTAGGCCCTTTGCTAGAACCGAATTGCTTGAAGGTACATATCTTCAAATGAAATGGCTTTGCCTTGCCTACTCTAGAAAGATGATTTCATGGCGAAATGGTCTGTGATGTGAACTAGCATGCTTCCAACAAGTAGACTCAAAAAGTTAGCTCAAGCTTACATTGAAAATAGATTGGGTTTATTGACGATAACGATTAAATGTGGTTGCATCCCTGCTTGATATAAAATAGAACTTACATTCATACTAGATTTAATCTAAATTGTATCCTTGACTAAAAGTGGATGGAATTTTGATATGAATCAAGAAATAATTAAATTGAAACTAATACAGATAAATGAAACCCTTATATATTTCAGATGAAGTAAAGATCGACAAAATACCTGAATATGCATAGTTGAAATGTCAGGTCTAGATTGAAACCATTTGAATAAAAACGAGTAAGAAATGTGATTGAAAGTCATCATAAGATCATAATTCTTTCAATTCCTGACACTGAAGCACACTTTTTAGAGTCCTTTATTTGTGTAGATCTGACCAAAGCCCTTGAAATGATTTCATATGACCAATTCTCTATCGTTTTCCCCTTCAGTTGAGATTCCTGTATGAATGTACATATATATTTATATAGATTTATGTTTTTTTTTTGTTCGAAGCAACAATGGAAGAACGATGTGTAATCGTAGAACTAAAAGAGGAAATAGGAAATATCAAACCACATTGATTGTCTTGTCTTGACCATGTACTGTACCATTAAGCACTCAATGTTTGAGTATGAAAATACGGTGTGTAAAAACCTGTCTTTCCTATCATTCCTTTGTATCCATGTGCATTGCAATGGGCAACAATTGTGGCTGCCCTAGGAGCCAATACTACTGCCAGCCCTGCCACTCGCTGGCTGATGGGACGATGAAATAATAATGGAAAATGTGCGGGTCTCGGTAAGTCGTGGGATCTTATACAAAAATATACTCGTATTCGTACATATGTTTGTGATTGCATGGGCAATGGAATGAAAATTTAATATAATTGAAGAGTCGTGCTATGAATTGCAGTTAACATTAAAAAATCAGCACGGCCTTGTATAAATATTAAATAAACTGTAATTGTCAAGTGCTATTTTTAAATATCGGTGGTTGGTCGGGCACACACAGGACCCAGGCATAAATATACATACATATTTTACTCATTATATTATATTCATCATGTGTGCTCTCGTGTATATATGTTTTTGTCTTCTTTGTATTAAGTTGCGCATTGAAAATTCAATTAGTTGGATGCCATAAAAATGAATGTACAATTTATGTAAATGGAAAATGAAATTTAATAGATTTTCCCACATGCTGAATGAATCCAATTTGTCACTTGTCGTATTTCAGGGCTTTAATTGACTGCAAAAGGAAGGGGGGTTTTAGGGGTTCAAGGCGGCAACAAAATTCGGGGAAAACAAAATCATTTTTTTGGTATTATCCTTTAGTTTAGTGTAAATATTATAGTGTTTCTTCTCTGACTTTTGTATCGCTTTTTTAAATCGAGTAAAGTAAATCGTGTGTTGAGAGCTCGGTTTCTCGGTTTTTATCGCTATACCAATTCCATTAACGAATCAATCATTGCGGTTTGGTGGTTTAGTTTTTAGTTTTTAGTTTAGTTTTTTTTTCTTGAAATAAAGTCCATTTACACATTCAAATATCGTAGGTATATATGTTTAGTAAATACATATAAGACCAATTCGCTTTTTACGGCAGGATTAAATTCATAATATGCTCAAAAAATTACATATTCTTCATATTCATATTCATATTCTGATCTATTCTGCTTCATCATTATCATCATAAGTATTTCATTTTTATCCATTTCTAGTTATACAATAACACACTCATAAAGTTTAAAGTTTTTCTTCTTTCGATATTTGGCCTAAACTAATGTTAATTATTAATATGTTTCATTTCCTCTTTTGCCATCAATTTCACTGGTGTTTTTGTCATAGGTAGTAGATGTTTTTTTTTGGAGGATTCCGTCCCCGATTTTTCTTTGCTTTGGTTTATTGCATTTATAGATCTATAAGCGATACTATAGTCTTCGAGGTGGTCAACAACACTGGCCCGTCCTCTTGTCATCAAAGGTCGTTGTCGAACATCTGCAGTGAGCGCGTCACCAAATCGTCCTTCAGACAGGCCTCCAAGAACTCCTCTATCGTTATGATGCCGTCCTGATTCAAGTCCAGCTTACGAAACACACGATCCACCTTTAAGTAAAAAAAAAACACAAATTACGTTTATTTTCCCTCTTGCCTGGATTTACTCTTTTGGCAAACAGAAATCAATTTTCGATTTAATCTTTCGTTTTAATTTTCCCGACTTTTCATCATTATCAATAAGTGCGCGGGCGGAGGCGGGGACGGTCATGCAACGTGCCATGAGCGACGTGCGTCATTAAGTAAAATATCCGCCGCTGTTTCCGCGCATGAAAGCATCCGCTCTTCGCCTTTCCTCTTTCCCATACGTTGAGTATCGTTGAGCTGTCAATGCATTTTCAATACCCCTCTGGTGCAATTTCCCCACTGTTTTCCCCCACAATTATAATTACTCATACGCACTGTGAGCCCGCGACCAACGTCAGCGGATGCTGCATGTTATGTCAAGTGTGGCTCTTGCATAAAAAATGAAGCGCACAAAACTGTGCCCACAGCGATAGAGAGATATGCAGACAGAGACGCAGAAATTGTGACAGAGAGAGAGTGAGAGAGAGAGGTGGCAGGAATAAAGCCTCTGTCTAGATAAACAAGGATTTGTGCTCTGCATCTCTCGGCATTTTAATGAAGCTCTTTGTGTGGCGTGCCCAAAGCTTATCACTGATTGCGAAATGCAAATAGAATTGTATGCCGAGATTTAGGGGACCCTGGATTCCTCTATAACCGGATTATTGTTGGTGGAGTCCACTGCATGTAAAGGTCTTAAGTTTTGGTGGTTCCAACTTTATGCTTATGAGATCGATACTTCGGTATAGAGCGTACTTATATCTTCAGAACTCTTTTGTTAAATAAAATATTCGGATTTTAAATACAAATATAGTCAAATTAAGACCGTACTATTCAAAATAATTATACGTAATATATTAAAATTTATGAGATATACTTAATCTATTTATTTTATAACATTTTCATATTATTGGTAACATGTAAGTGAAAGCACTTTCCTCTTGCAATTTCATGGCTTTTTTCCTGCTTGTATGATTTAAGATATCTTTCAATTTATCAAATGAGTGACACCGGATTGGTCTTCACTTTGTCCCCCATTGAGAACCACTTTGGGCCATATCACTAGATTTGAGTCCTCACCTGATCCCTCGCTTTGCGATCGTCCTCAGGCTGGTGTGGTCTCCTGCCCATAAGCTCGTGAATGGCCAAGATGATTTCGCTCAGCTCGCCGCGACTGATCCGGCCATCGCCATTCAGGTCGTAGAGCTTGAATGTCCAGCGGAGGCGCTCGTAGACAGAGCCGCGCAGCAGGGTCGACAAGGTGACCAGTAAATCCTAATAACCATCAATGTGTGCAGCATGAATAGGAACATGAACATATACTCGTAAATGTAGATTGCGCAAACTTCATTATAATGAGATGGTAATTACCCGAAAACTAATGGCGCCATTGCAATTAACATCGAACGCCTTGAACACATAATGAGCGTATAAACTCGAATCTATATAAATGGAATAGGCAAAGAGAACAAAAAAAAAATGTCACAATTATGGGCGTGTCGGAGATTCTTTTTCAGTGGGGCTTTAGGGGTTTTTTTGGGGGCATTCGGTATTCTGACAGCCGGGTATTGCGGACGCAGCTGCTGCAAAGGCGAAATGGTCGCTTAAGTGGCGCTTTATGACGCGCAACTATAAAAAGGCAAAGCATAAGACCTCAGCGACAACATCGAATGGAGTGGCAGAAGCATACACTGGGAGTGGTGGGGCATATACACACACATATATACATATACTTACTGCCATGTGGAAAGAATTTGGCGTAAATATCCTTAAAACAATCCTCGTGCACCACGCCCTCGGGGCATTCCTGCAAAAGAAAAATCGCCATGAAAATGTTTTGCTTAGCTGCTTGGATGAGGGAAAAAGAAAGAGCAAATGTAATGAAAGAGGATACGCAAAATATTAAGGACTAGTAATAGAAGGACTCTGCAATGCCCTATTTCTTTAAATTCCTTAAGAAATTTGAGAATAAGTAGCAATCTTCTGCTCTGCCACTATATTGTGGAAAAATTCAATTGGACACGAGGCCTTCAGAACTATCCGTTGATAAGTTAGTCATCCTTAGTGATTCAGTTAGTGAGTGGTTTTATTTTGCTAAATATGTACTTTAAATGAAATTACCCCTGGTAATCCTACAGTTACGGAGTATCAGACCTAAGTAGATTATCAAACAAGGCCCCTTGAAGCCTTAGCTGCTCGCTCACAAAGTTTTCTACACTTTCAAAGTTTTCTATTCGCAAAGTAAACAATTTTCGCCAGGTTAATTGAGTAAACAGTACCGCAGCAGCGACCTCGAACTGCGAGCCATCAATAAGGGCAGCCATCGGCCATAATAACGATCAATAAAACCAACCATCAATAAGACAAACTATCAGTAAGACAAACTATCAATGGCGCAAAGTAAGTATCAGTATCAGAGAGGGGCACGGCACACTGCAGTAAGGCAAACTATCCATTTACTTGACCCAATGCTCATCTCCTGTTGACCCACATATACGAGTATTTTACTCGTATAGAAACTTTTTCCGAATGAGCGCGCAAATGCTGCAATTGCAAGTGCTGCTTGCTCTCCTCCACGTCCTGTCGAATCAGTGCCTGGACCCACACACGCAAACAAAGAGAGCGACGACAATTCATTTGCAATGAAACCCAAAACGCGTGTGCATTAAAATGGGCGGCCATTTATGGCAACACTCTCTTTGGCACGCCATTCGCCGGTCACCAGTATTTGGGTCTTACATTTTAAAGGATTCTTTTGGGGCATTGCGAAGGCGATAATCAGCGAGACTTCTACGATATTCCCAATCTGCCAATAATTATAATCATTGTAAGCAAACTTAAACCGTTTCAAAAAGAGATATTAGTTGAGAATAAATATATGTCTTACTGTTTTGAATCCCCTGTACATGACGCGGATTTCCTGTTTGGTGAACTTCGTTTGGCGGCACAGATCCTCGAGGGCAACGGGTATGGGCTTAGGCACTCGTGTTTGTTCCAACTCATAGACCACCTCCTCGATAGGGCTTTCTGGTGGTGAGGCCATGGTTGTTCTTGCTGTACTTCTACTTCTACTTCCTCTTCCACTTCCACTTCAGCTCTGACTTGTTCGTGGTATTGGTTTGGTTTTGCAGTTGTTGCTTAATTAACTCTTGTTAATTATGATTTACGGTTTAATATCAATTCGCATTTGAGGTGCTCTGTTAGAGGTTTTTAGATGGCACATAACGAACCCATGGTGCTTAAATTCGCTGGCAAGGCCACACAAAACCCGGTGAGTATTCAATTTCTTTGTCCCTTTTTTTATGGGTTCTCCTTCTTCTCTTTCCTGGTACGGGCGCAGACGATGTTGTTGCGGCTGTCAATCCCTTTCGGCGTATCCTCTTTATTTTGTATTTTTTTTGGTGGTTTTTGGTTACGGTTTCCTTTATGGCGCGTTCCGCTAAGTCGCTAATGAGGCAACCATTTCTGAAAGAGAGGAAAACAGAGTATGGGAAAGGTTACATAAATCAGGTGGTGATGGTGGAAGGACGCCTTGCAGCAGCCGGAAGTGCAACTCGTAGCAGGTATGTGTGTGTGTGTGTGCTTTATATATACATCGAGTATACGCCTTGTTGACTGCCGTCAGGTCTGTGGCTGGCTCTAGTGCCGGGCGAGTAACATGCAAATGGAGATTATTATTGCGTACCATAAATCAAAGGCGCGAATCGAGTTATGCGCGCACTTCGGCGTAGTTGCAGCACTCACCTGCCACACGTTGCAGGGCAGGTAGGAAGGCAGGCTTAGGTTGTTGCCCAGACGAAATTAATGAGCACTTTGCATGCAAATGAATTGAATGCCAGTTCGCTCTGGCAGGTTGTTTGTTTGCTTTGCACCGATGCCAATGCAGCACTTAGCAAATCCTCTTCTGAATTGAGTTTAAACTGGTAAGTGAAATGGGAATTGCCAAGACAATGCTAAATGGATTGGATTGCTAATGCTAACTCGAGTGGGTTTTGCTGCAGTAGAAGAACGTTCGTCAAAATTTCCCAGAAAACACATCCATTCCAAGTTCTGTTGTCCTATTAAATCGTTGGCTTGAAAGTAATCCCATAAACCTAGAAAATTCAATTTCTTTCCGACTCAAGTCCGCATCCTTGTCGTTTTACTCTGACAAATTTCAACAGCCCTTCAATATTTATCAGCGAAAAGTCAAAAAGTTTTTGCTGCAAACTATTTCCACTCTATTTCCATTTTGCATTTCCATTCTATTTGCTCTTACACACACACACAGACAGTCGGGAGAGAGACGATGGTTGAGCGTTTGCGATTCGGTGGAAAAAAGGCTGGAGTCGGGTAGGGTAGGGAAGGGTAAGGGTTTCCATTTCCGACGTCACGGCTATTTTTCAGCTGGAATTGATTAAGCACCAGATAAGCCAAAATGGGGTCACTGCGAAACGGAAATAGCTTTGACAGTTTTAATCCAAGCAGCATATTTATGTTCCTTTTTTCACAGCTTTCACTTCCCACTTAACTACTTTTTTCTTTTTTTGCTGGTTCTTCGCCTTTGAGTCACACTTATGCTTCCTGCTGGGCAAATTGCTGCACTCATTTCCTGGTTGTACAAATTTTGTTGAAAACAATGAAACTTTGCATACCCTAGCTGACCCGTCCGACCCTTTTGCCGCCATGTCAATCAGAAGCACTGGAAAAACTGGTTTTAATGCCGTACCGATGAGCAAGCCGTTGAAGGGTTTTGGTGGTGTCTTAATTTCGGGTTGCTCTTCTCCTGATGCGTATCACATGCCAACTGACTTAAGTTTGAATTTGGGCACATGACAATGGCCATCCATTGTCCATAGCACGAATCAGCACATTCTAATGAGTGGAATATTCAATATTTGGCTCGTACTCGAATGCGAATGCTCGATGTACTTGTTGGCGTTATCTGCCGCCAATTACTTACCATACATTGAGTGCCAATTCTGTATGATACAAAATTTCCATCACTGACTTGTTCTTAGTTTACTTGAGGGATAATACCTATGTTTTTCTTCTATTCAATTTTGATCTGTAAAGTATCAACCATGGCTCATTTTTTTCTGTAACAACTACCGGCAGAAAAAAAACATAAATCGCTTCAGTTCTATACAGAAATTTCCTCAGAAAACTTTCGTTTGCTCCAGGGCCTTTGTGTTTTCTTTTTAAATAGACTTGTCCGCTCATTCATGTTGAACATTGAATGTATAAATAAATGATGATCGGGGCAGAGCAGGACTTACATATTTATGCAGTTTTTGTGTAACCAAAACTTAAAGATTGGAATCAATAACCTAAGACCCGACGTAATGCCATAAGGAAGAGAAGTGCCGAGAGCTCCGAGCTCTTTAAGCCGGTTCAAGCGAGTGCTGGAAGTGGGTCTGCCATTAGCATAAATTGCATTTAACCGAAAGAGAGGAGGTGGAGGAGCCATAAAAACGAATGCAATGTCATACTTATACGCTCGAGTGGCAGCCAACTAATTTCATGACTCTATTTCGCACAAATCTGTGTGGCATTCGCCGAGCAGCGGGGCTGTGCAACCGCATGCATTTCACAACATTTTAAGTCCTGTTGGAGCAACGCCTCTGCATGGTCAGAGCCCGCTTCTAACACCACCGCACCCGCTCACACACCCGCACATATGTTTAGCATTCAAAGGCAGTTTTGGCCAGGGCTTTAGTGTGTGTGCTTGTGGAATGTTTGTCAAATATCACGTATACGACATGTGTTTCCGGCAAAGAGCGCACGAACACCCACAAATAGCAGCACAGGCCGTGCAGGCAATCCAGGACCTAAACGCATTCAATGCCAGGGCGAACTGCAATTAAATATTAAATCAGGTCACAGTATAAAGCTACAATGCGAAAATGCTTATTAGCCGATTGCCAATTGTTGTGAGACACAAACACAAAATTTACGAATACTCGCATGACACAGAAATGCACTTAAGGCGGCAGATAGTCCATCGGGAGGAGGCGGAGTGTAGGATTAAATGGGATATGCAAATTTTCTGGCAATGCCACTGTCAAGCATTGTATGTTTATTCATTTGTCTAATTGTGTTGTTCATGGAGCGGGTATCCCGGGGAGTCCTGTTGTGTGTGGCATGTCAGGACGTTAGCTTTTAAATGGCAACGACAACAGCAGTGGCAGTGGCAGCAGCCGCCAATCGAGGCAAGGACAAGGCTTGGCCCGGCCCGTCCCGAGCCGGCTTGCATGCAGTCATGCAATGCCACTCGAACAAAAAACTAAAACTAAACAAGAACGCACGCCAGGCCGGCCTCGTTCCCCTTCTCTTTCTCCTCCTCCATCTGCTAACATTATTCCCTCTCTATCACTATACTAACTGGAATTGTCCACAGTGGCTTGGATATTTGCACAGCATAATATTTGACATTGTTGATGAGGCAAGGCTCTAAACGAATTTGCATACATATACATCGTGCATCCTATATTTTAGCCTACAGAAAGTGAAATTATTTTGCGTTGGGAGTAAAGGCTGTTGAGGATTGTGCAGCTTACGAATAATGCCAGAGGGTTTGCTGTAGATCTTAGATAAAATAACACATATTTAACATAAGAATGAATGTACATTGTATAATATTTTGGGTAAAGGTCAATTCGGACTAAATTCTGGATCGATTAATCCTACAATCTTGAAACGAGTAAGAGCATTCAAATATTCAGCTATATTTTATTACAGAATTATATTCAAAGTCATTTGAAATGGATATTCTCGTTCGCTTATGGGGAATTCTTACAGCAAGTCAACGGCATTCATATGCCCAAATTGATCCTATTCCTTAAAAAGCAATAGTGCATCTATTTCCCACCCAAATGCCACTCTTTGCCAATAACTTTGACCCACTGTTTGGGTGCTTGTGTCTCCAAGCCTGTGGCATTGTCATTTCCCGCTGTTTTCATGCCACTTTCATGGACTACAGCAGACAGACTGGCACAATGAGAGGAGTGCCATGCTCGAGCCGAACCCTGAGCCATATCTAAATAGAAACTCCTGGCCAGAACCAACACGCAACCACAGAAGCCGCTGCCGCTGCCGCAGTCGCAGTCGCAGCTCTACTTCAATTCTGAGAGCATTATTAAATTTCGGATGGTATATCCATGCTATATCTGTGTGTGTGTGGGCGAGTATATAATTTTCATAAGGGCGGTGGGGGACCAAACAATTGAATTTTTGGCACGGCTTGTTTCGGGCTCGACCACGAGGTCACCGCCCAATCTTGATGCGCCTACCAAAGACAATAAATCAACGCCAATTATAGTCATTTTTTCATGGTTTTCTTTTTTTCCTGTGCTGTTGCGGTGCTCCTCAACCGAACCTTCGTTGGCCAAGGCAAGCGATGACGACACATGATGTACGGCTCTCAACACTTTTCAATCTCGTTCTGAACCAAATCCGGCCACAAAGTGGGGGGAGCGAAGCATGGGAATATAATGAGCCACCAAATCTCGGGAGAGATATATGCATGCCATATATCGCATACCGAATCGAAATGGCAAATGGCAAATGGCAAGTGCATTTGCATTGGCCTGCCTGTCTGGGTTGATTTTCCATCTCAGTTTCCCTCTCTCGCAGTCCAGGACGAGATGTCTGATGTTGACACGAGCCCTAAGGGGATTTGAGATAATGTTCTGTTTGCCATTAGACATCATCAGCATCTGCATCAGGTAAATTGATCGACCTTAATTGATTTATAATGCTTGCATGGAACACTCAACATTAGAGGGGATTATCTTTAATTGGATATATGTATGTACGTATTCGGAGAGCTTACAATGAAACTGCATTTTTGTTGTAGTTGCAACAAAGAGGTTGCTGTGGCTAAAAGATTGATTGACTTATGCTTGAATTAGTTAATGATTATAGTGTTTTGGGCTAAGCGTTGTGTAATGAGGGAAATATTAAACTAATTTGAAGAAATAAACGACTATTAAGACAAATTTCATAGCTAAAGTTGATGCAATATTGACAACATGTCGTATGGGTGATTACCAGTCTTAATTGTCAGTTATCCTAATAATTATTACTTAAATTATACCGACAATGTCTTTGGTTTTGAGCCTATTGCCCCTTGTACTGCTAGAAAGGATTAATAAACAATATACAAAGCTTCGAATAGATGGAACTGGAAACAATTTGTCTTTAGACCTGATTTATTTCTGATTGTTTGATTTCTTTCTCACATGTACATATGAGTATTATCTGTATCTAGATTTGACAGTATGACGCATAATTAAAGTTGGTAATTGTGCCAAAAGGATTTCTGCCAATTGCCAAGAGATCTGAGATATGGGCCCATCTTGGCTGCCAGCCAACAGATAGATAAATGGCCTATCAGAGAGTTATAAGATAGGCAGGGCACGGGGAAGGGGAAGGGAATTCCTTCCCCGGTCGTTATTCATTCCGTAAATACCGTAGAGTGTGAC